GCGGGTGTGAGGTGGCACACGACTAGGGGGTGGGATGGCAACTGGGCGGTGGTATAGGGAGGGGGTATTGGTGCTGAGGGATGGGAACAGTACCAGGGAGGAAGCTAGTACAGGGATAAGGTGCAGGGCAGGGGTTGAGATGGGCTTGCCAAATCAACCTGTCACGTTCGTTGAATGACGGGTCAGACCAAGGCGCAGCGTGATATACGTACATGTTTATTAACTTATAAACACAACGACAAAACAACAACCGAAACGAAACGTGAAGTCCAAGGTAGAACACACAACATACCTACAAGGAACACAACTATACAGTGCCCAATCAGAGACAACGAGCGACAGCTGCCTCTGATTGGGAACCACACCGTCCAACATAGAACTATACATACTAGATCACAACATAGAATAAACACAACAAAGAATATCCACACCCTGACTCAACATATATACGAGTCCCCTGAGTCAGGGCGAGAAAGTACCCCCCCCCCCAAAGGTGTGGACTCCGACCGCACAACCTTCACTTAACAGGGTAGGGGCCGGGTGGGCATTCCGCCTCGGAGGCGGATCCGGCTCCGGGCGTTACGACCTCATACTCTCCGCCTCCCTGTTGCGCCCCTGGTCTGGTCTGGACCTCGGCGCGCTACTTCCCCTCTCCTTCCTCCCACGATACTCCAGGCCCTGTCTGGACCCTGGTGTGGGAGACCCCGAACCTGAAGAGGGGCTGACGTCATGGTCTGGACTGGAGCCGCTGACCGGAGCTGGACCCGGCACCGGTGGAGCAGACTGCTCAGGCTCCGGACTGGAGCCGCTGACCGGAGCTGGACTGTGCACCGGTGGAGCGGACTGCTCTGGCTCCGGAGTAGAGCTGCTGACCGGAGCTGGACTGGACCCCGGTGGAGCGGACTGCTCTGACTCCGGAGTGGAGAAGCTGACCGGAGCCGGTCCAGGCACCGGTGGAACGGGCACGGGCAGTGCCGGACTGGACACACGCACCACTGGTCTGGTGCGAGGAGCAGGAACAGGCCGGGCCGGACTGGCGACGCGCACCACTGGCTTGGTGCGAGGAGCAGGAACAGGCCGGGCCGGACTGGCGACGCGCACCACTGCCTTGGTGCGAGGAGCAGGGACAGGCCGGGCCGGACTGGCGACGCGCACCACTGGCTTGAAGGGAGGAGCAGGAACAGGCCGGGCCGGGCCGGACTGGCGACGCGCACCACTGGCTTGGTGCGAGGAGCAGGAACAGGCCGGGCCTGACTGTGGAGGCGGACTGGAGGTCTGGAGCGGAGAGCTGGCACAACCCGTCCTGGCTGAATGCCTACTTCCGCACAGCATGTGTGAGGCATCAGCACAGGACGCACTGGGCTGTGCACGCGCACTGGCGATACAGTTCGTAGAACTGCCGCAGGATATGCGGGACAGAGGAGGCGTACTGGAGACCAGCAGCGTTGAGCCGGCACACCCCGTCCTGGCTGGATGCCCATCTTCGCACGGCACGTGCATGGTGCAAGCACAGGACGTACAGGACGACACAGTAGGTAGCTCCGCATAACACGGAGCCTGCCCAGTCATACGCTTCCTCGCGTGAGTACGGGGAGTTGGCTCTGCTCTGACACTAGGCTCCGCCAACCACCCCGTGTGCCCCCCAAAAAAATGTTTTATTGGGGCTGCTTCTCGGGCTTCCTCCTCGACCGGCCTCCTCCGTGTTGCCGTTGCACCTCTCCTGCCTGGGCATCTACCTTAGCCCATGGTCCTCTCCCCGCAAATATCTCTTCCCATGACCACAAATTGCCCACCTGTGACATGGCTATTTGCTGCGCCTGGGCACACTGCTTGGTCCTCGTTTGGTGGGATCTTCTGTCACGTCCGTTGAATGACGGGTCAGACCAAGGCGCAGCGTGATATACGTACATGTTTATTAACTTATAAACACAACGACAAAACAACAACCGAAACGTGAAGTCCAAGGTAGAACACACAACATACCTACAAGGAACAAGATCCCACAACTATACAGTGCCAATCGGCTGCCTAAGTATGGTCCCCAATCAGAGACAACGAGCGACAGCTGCCTCTGATTGGGAACCACACCGGCCAACATAGAACCACACATACTAGATAATACATAGAATAAACACAACAAAGAATATACACACCCTGACTCAACATATATACGAGTCCCCTGAGTCAGGGCGTGACACAACCGCTCGTGGTGGGAGCTCAAACATTGTCCTGCTAACAAATAAACACACCACTTTGGTAAAATATCATAATTTACCTTGACATAAATGATGATGATCTCAAACCAAAGTTTTGATAAAACACCTACGTCAAAATATTGGTTTGAGACCCATTCTCCTGCTACAGGTAGCACCAATAGCAGATATAGCATGGTAAAGAGGTTAGCATCAATAGCAGATATAGCATGGTACAGAGGATAGCATCAATAGCAGATATAGCATGGTAAAGAGGATAGCATCAATAACAGATATAGCATGGTAAAGAGGATAGCATCAATAGCAGATATAGCATGGTAAAGAGGTTAGCATCAATAGCAGATATAGCATGGTAAAGAGGATAGCATCAATAGCAGATATAGCATGGTAAAGAGGATAGCATCTAAAAGGAAAGGATAGCAGCATTGGGTTAACTGGGAGGGAAACTTTAATTAGTCAGGACACCAGAGGATTTAGACTTCACAGACAGCAACTCTGAGAGGAAGAGGAGGAAGCAGGGGAAGAGGAGGAAGCAGGGGAAGAGGAGGAGGCAGGGTAGGAGGAGGAGGCAGGGGAAGAGGAGGAGGCAGGGTAGGAGGAGGAGGCAGGGTAGGAGGAGGAGGCAGGGTAGGAGGAGGAGGCAGGGTAGGAGGAGGAGGCAGGGAAAGAGGAGGAGGCAGGGTAGGAGGAGGAGGCAGGGTAGGAGGAGGAGGCAGGGTAGGAGGAGGAGGCAGGGGAAGAGGAGGAGGCAGGGTAGGAGGAGGAGGAAGGGTAGGAAGAGGAGGCAGGGTAGGAGGAGGAGGCAGGGTAGGAGGAGGAGGCATCCAAGTCAAAGGAAAGTCTGGTCTGTCTGTCTGTCTGTCTTTGCATAGTACCTAATGCATGGTTACAATATGAACCAGGCTGCACTCTCCTGGGTGCCACTTAGGAGAGGTTATTAAGAACACTGTAACCCTATATCAACTCATATCACTATGGCCCTATTTCAACTCTGAAATTTACATTGACATTTTAGTCATTTAGCAGACGGTCTTATCCAGAGCGACTTACAGTTTAGTGAATACACATTTTTTTTTATACTGGCCCCCCGTGGGAATCGACCCCACAACCCTGGCATTGCAAACGCCATGCTCTATCAACTGAGCTACATCCCTGCCGGCCATTCCCTCCCCTACCCTGGACGACGCTGGGCCAATTGTGCGCCGCCCATGAGTCTCCCGGTCGCGGCCGGCTGCGACAGAGCCTGGATTTGACCCAGGATCTCTAGTGGCACAGTTAGCACTGCGATGCAGTGCCTTAGACCACTGCGCCACTCAGGAGCATGCAATGCTATTAATTAATTGAAAAGTCAATGCAGAAAATAAGGAAAACGTTCAATTCATTCACTGATAGAAAACAGGCGTGCCTATAAACCAGACTCCCTGAAGACAGTACAGTACTCTCATCAGGAGCCGTACTGAATTAAAATACAAGTCCCAGTATGCATTGCCAGACCATTCCCTCCCACCAGCCTTGGCACGTTGCCCGTGGTGACCATAGTGTGTGTGGTCATGGCAACATAGATGTGGGCCAGTAGGTGGTACAGAACCCCTCTGTCACTCACATGGTACCCGTGTCCCGTCCTCCTTGTCCCGTCAATCTGGTGGTCTAACAACCTCCAGCAGATGGAGGCCCAGCAGGAGGACAGGGGGCCATGCCCTGGGCCTCTACCCCACACAGAGAGCACTCTGCTGGGCTAAGAGGGGCCACAATACCGGGGGTAACCCATGGCCCAGCCCATCTCTCCCACAGAGTAGACACACGTCTGGATGAAGGCCTAACATAGAGGATGATTTATGAGAACAGCATATAATTAAATACAACAGTAATTGAATGCGTTTCTATGGAGGAAAGTATGAATATCCATGCATAGAACTAGAATCACTAGAATGGCCATTCCTATTCATTTTCCATGGTCCAGTGTCACTGCTGTGGTTAGAAAGTACATGGTGGTTTATGATGGGGGGTCCATCTGAATTAGCCCAGCTAAAGCACAACTGAGTCTGCATGTGATAATGATGCAATAGGAACAGCCAGCAGAGACAGTCATACAAACTACCAAGTTCTGTATTTCTTATGTACCTCTGCCTCTTTATCTATGGGATTACTGACTGAAAGCTGTGTGCCACAGATAAAGTTAGCTGTAAATACATAGGACCTGTAGAGTCAAAGTTAGGCCCTATATAAAGCAGAGACATGAACGCAAACACCTTACCATATTGAAGCAATAAATAAACTAGTGATAAACATGATCTGGGAATGAACAAGGTGGTGTGTGTCCCATAATGATATTCAAAAGATGACGGACCACCTGCTGAGCCAGGAGGAAGACTGTTCCTAAGCAACAAGAAACTCTTATAAGCTCCTTCTAACCTCTTGGGAAATCCGGACCGGATCGGGACGCAGACAGGAATAACAACAGACATCTTTAACTAGGCCGAGTTATGAGCCTGCTCTCTGGGTAACCACGGTTTCCAGTCTTTTACATTTCCTTTGTGATATTTCAGAAACTATTGTCTGACTTGTGATTCTACTCTCTGGGTATTGGTCTCTTCGTCTACTAGGAGTTGAGAAACTTTTTTTACTTTATACATTTACTTTCCTCCCTCTCTCAGATTATTATGAACAATTGAGGATTTCTTCTTCGATTTTAACCACATTTTGGAAAAGTAATGAAAATGTCAAAACTGCCAGCAATGAACAAGAATATGATGAAACATCTGATAATGTAAGCACTGCCAACGCCTCCTAAAGCACCAGGCTCCTACAGCACCAGGCTCCTACAGCACCAGTCTCCTACACAGCACAAATGAAAGAAAGAACAAAACCGATGACTTGTTGGGAAACCGCAGGGATAAAAGTCTGCTGGTGTTATGTCGCTGTGTCGGAAGCGCTAACTGTATTTTTTTCATGGCGGTGGGGTACTTCGAACAAGAACACAAGACAAATGCATCTTTGCAACAACGTAGACCTTTATTTGTGAAAAAAAGTACAATACCTCGTCCTTACAAATACGCCTAAGAAAAAACGTTGAACTGAAAAAGAGCATTGTAAGAACGGGAAATAATGTTTCATCGTCATTGAAGAAAAGTATCTATTCATGTAGATTAACGCACCATAGGTTGACAGTGGTCTAAATTCAGATTCATCGTTAACATACGACTAGCACAAACGAGACAAAAGCTACATGTTGTTAATACATCAACAAAATATTGAGAAAGTGAAAATTCAGTACACTTTGTTTTAAAACTTTCCAAAAAACAGTGAACCAAAATAACTGTTGTGTTGTCCGCTAACCACACTACCAAGTTTTCAACCCGTTGGCTCTTCTTGCAAATTTCAATTCTGTTATGATGTGACCTAGTAAATCAAAAATAAATAGCCAACAAAGAGAATTGGTGCTCTTAACCTTCTGCGTGATGTTTGAAGAATTATATTTTTATTCAAATCGCACCACTTTATGCAACATTCAAATAATCCATCAAGGCGAAAGCTCAAGTCTTTTATGTTGCACGCAAAAGAAAAGCATTGTTTTTCATCATTTTAATGTTTTTGTACATGACACTAACAGTTACTGTACAATGCATGTATACATAGAATCAGAATGAATAGAATGGTCAGAGGTACTACTCCCGTTCTATGCATTCTAATTCTATGCATGTATAACTAAATGGTCTACTCAGACACCAGACCACCTCTCCACTCAATATGCCAGCCATAGCACTCTGTTGCCATCTTTTAATGTAGCATTCCTCTGATATATGTTTACATTCGTGTAGAAAGATGACTACTCTTAACTCTGTGTCATCTCTAGATTATAGACCTGTATCTCTATCGACGATCCTATCAAAATATTAGACTATAAATTGTGCCTTCCTGTATTATACTGATGCTAAAAGGTATATTCTATTCTACTGAGCCATTTACTTTATGTTCCTATTCTTATATTTTATTATTTCTTATTGTTGTTGCATTGTCCAGAAGGAACCTGTAAGCATTTCATTGGATGATGTATTCCATGTGTATCCTGTACCATACGACTAATAAAACATGAAACTATCCTAAAAGAGACTACGCTATTCTGTTCCCACAGACATTGTGAGCTTTTTTGGTCAAAGTTATTGTGTTGTGGATGTACTCAAACCTGAGCTAGTTCCTTTAGCAAGCGTTAGCTAGTTCCCTTAGCAAGCGTTAGCTGCATGTATCTGTGTCCATGTCTTTTTGATGTATCCCAAATACCCTCATACCCTTCCTATACATCCCCATACACCCCAAACGCCACCTCATATCCCAACAGTTGACTGACTGACAGTGGTTACCTGGTGATGGATTTTAGGCCGCAACCCGAATGGAACCCTATTGCTTTTATAGTGACCTACCTTTGACCAGGGAATAAGGTACTATTTGGGATGCAGTCATAACCTGTCATCTGTTACACACTACAGTATATAACAGTAGATTAGTGATCACAACGGTAACAGATCTAAGACCACTGACCCAATCTTTCATTTCCTGTTCTGTTCTTCTTTTCTTTATTACTCAAAGTAGGTTTTGACATCATAACAAGGTGCTTCACACATACACACACACACACACACACACCGTAAACCACTGGGACAAAGAAATCACAACATCATTATTCAACAGAACTTGTTTCGCCATTGTCTCTTCTCTGGACAATACAACACAATGAGAAGAAGAGAGGAGAGGAGAAAAACCAAATGAGCATCCACGTGTATATCCACGATGCCTCTACATGTTGATCTAGGGTCCGTTTTGTGTTTTACTAAGACTCAGGGGAAGGCGAGCTGATCCTAGATCTGTGCCTATGGGACAACTTCTACCCTTTAACCAGTAAGGTAGAGGTTGGAAGCTGCCTGGGACAATCCAGCAGAAGGGCAACATCGCCATCTTGTGGAGACAGTTGCAGCTGCGCCCTGCATGTCAACTGACAATGTCCCTGGTTGAAAGAGTGCTGTCTGTCTGTCTGGTCGCCTGTGTGTCTGTCCGTTCGTCTATCCGCCCGTCCGTCTGTCTCTTTATCTGCAGCACTGTGGGCATTCCGTGGCAGAGGACTGAGAATGCGTAAGTACCTTCGGACATCCACAGTAGAGGTCAGGGTTTGGGGGCCGGGGAGGCGAGCTGGGTGGGTAGGTGCCTCTCTCCTACCTGCTGAGGCGAAGCTTGATAGAGTTCTTCACCACTGGAATTGGGTTGGCTGGCAGGAGGGGCACGTCAGACAGGTCCGCACTGACCATTCTCTGAGGGGAGAGTAAGATAATTAAATTGATTAAATTAACAATATAAACAGACCAAAGTGGAACTATAGGACATCTGTAGCCTATTTAGACAGGAACTATGAAAGTGAGAGCCAGACAGACAGAGAGAGAGAGAGAGATTAGAGACACATATTTCCCTCAGATTACAGAGATCCACAAAGAATTCGAAAACAAACCCAATTTTGATAAACTCCCTTATCTACTGGGTGAAAAACCACAGTGTGCCATCACAGCAGCATGATTTGTGACCTGTTGCCACAAGAAAAGGGCAACCAGTGAAGAACAAACACCATTGTAAATACAACCCATATTTATTTTCCCATTTGTACTTTAACTATTTGCACATTGTTACAACACTGTATTAAGACATAATATGACATTCTTTTGGAACTTCTGAGTGTAATGTTTACTGTTAATATTTATTGTTTATTTCACTTTTGTTTATTATCTACTTCACTTGCTTTGGCAATGTTAACATACGTTTCCCATGCCAATAAAGCCCTTAAATTGAAATCGAAATGAATTGAGAGACAGAGACACAGAGAGAGAGAGAGAGCGAGAGAGAGAGAGAGAGAGAGAGAGAGAGAGAGAGAGAGCGAGAGACAGAGAGAGAGCGAGAGACAGAGAGAGAGAGAGAGAGCGAGAGACAGAGAGAGAGAGCGAGAGACAGAGAGAGAGAGAGCGAGAGACAGAGCGAGAGACAGAGAGAGAGAGAGCGAGAGACAGAGAGAGAGAGAGCGAGACAGAGAGAGAGAGCGAGACAGAGAGAGACGCAGAGACAGACAGAGAGAGAGAGAGAGCTCATACCTTAATATCTGCCTCCATCTTCACTTCCCCTTCAGAAGCAGGCATCTCCTCAGACATACTGTCCTCATTGACCTGTGAACACCAGGACCCACATAACAGTTTATCACAACTATCTAACCATGATAGACAGCAGTTAGTCTCAATTAGCAATAGTGTGAGATTTTGGCAATGAAGCACTTTATCTACTTCCCCAGAGTCATGGATACCATTTTTATGTCTGTGCTAGCCGTTCCGGTAGACGCTAAAACTACCTCTTACAGTTGCTTGCGAAAGTATTCACCCCCCTTGGCATTTTTCCTATTTTGTTGCCTTACAACCTGGAATTCAAATTGATTTTTTTGGGGTTTGTATTTTTTGATTTACACAACACGCCTACCACTTTGAAGATGCAAAATATTTCTTATTGTGAACAAACAAGAATAAACAAAAAAGAAAACTTAGCGGCATAAAGTCACCCTCAAAATACTTGTAGAGCACCCTTTGCAGCAATTCAAAGTCTTTGGTATTCTTATAGCTTGCACAATAACCTATCTCCTATGGCGCAGTGGCAAGGCACTGCAAGGTACTGTCCACAATCTGGTTCGAATCCGCTCTGTCGCCGCGCCGCGACCGGGCTATGGGCGCGCACATTGGCCCGTATCCAGGTAGGGAGGGAATGCCAGGCAGCCAGTTGTAGCATGGCTGCACGCCAGGTTGTGGGTTCGTTCCCGGGGGACCATATAAAAAAATATGTTCACTAACTGTGTCTCTCTGATAAGACTTGCTAATGACTAATGTACAAAATGTAAAAATACCCACTGGAATTTTTTCCCATTCTTCAAGGCCAAAACTGCTCCAGCTCCTTTAAGTTGGATGGGTTCGCCTGGTGGTACAGGCCAATCTTTAAGTCATACCACAGACATACTTCAATTGGATTGAGGGTCTTGGCTTTGACTAGGCCATTCCAAGACATTTAAATTTTAGCCTTAAACCAACACATGTTGCTTAGCAGTATGTTAGGGTCATTGTCTGCTGGAAGGTGAACTCCATCCCAGGCTCAAAATCTCTGGAAGACTGAAACAGGTATCCCTCAAGAATTTCCCTGTGTTTAGCGCCATCCATCATTCCTTCAATTCTGAACCAGTTTCCCAGTCCCTGCCGATGAAAAACATCCCCATAGCATGATGCTGCCACCACCATGCTTCACTGTGGGGATGGTGTTCTCAGGGTGATGAGAGGTGTTGGGTTTGCGCCAGACATAGCATTTTCCTTGATGGCCAAAAAGCTCAATTTTAGTCTCATCTGACCAGAGTACCTTCTTCCATATGTTTGGGGAGTCTCCCACATGCCTTTTGGCAAACACCAAACGTGTTTGCTTATTTTTTTCTTTAAGCAATAGCTTTATTCTGTCCACTCTTCCATAAAGCCCAGCTCTGTGGAGTGTACGGCTTAAAGTGGTCCTATGGACAGATACTCCAATCTCCGCTGTGGAGCTTTGCAGCTCCTTCAGGGTTATCTTTGGTCTCTTTGTTGCCTCTCTGATTAATGCCCTCCTTGCCTGGTCCGTGAGTTTTGGTGGGCAGCCCTCTCTTGGCAGGTTTGTTGTGGTGCCATATTCTTTCCATTTTTTAATAATGGATTTAATTGTGCTCTGTGGGATGTTCAAAGTTTCAGATATTTTTTTAACCCAATCCTGATCTGTACTTCTCCACAACTTTGTCCCTGACCTGTTTGGAGAGCTCCTTGGTCTTCATGGTGCCCCTTGCTTAGTGGTGCTGCAGACTCTGGGGCCTTTCAGAACAGGTGTATATATACTGAGATCATGTGACAGATCATGTGACACTTAGATTGCACACAGGTGGACTTTATTTAACAGATTATTTGTCTTCTGAAGGTAATTGGTTGCACCAGATCATATTTATTTAGGGGCTTCATAGCAAAGGGGGTGAATACATATGCACGCACCACTTTTCCATTATTAATTTTTTTACAATTTCCTGAAATAAGTTATTTTTTTCCTTTCACTTCACCAATTTGGAATATTTTGTGTATGTCCATTACATGACATCCAAATAAAAATCCATTTAAATTACAGTTTGTAATGCAACAAAACTAGGGAAAAACACCAAGGGGGATGAATACTTTTGCAAGGCACTGTACATCCTTCATATGGGACGCAGAGACATAAAAAAATGGTATCCTCAAGTTCATCTGACTCCTCAAAATCTAGCACTAGCCCTTTTAATAGATGCTACTTATAATATCATCAAGAAGATAGATTACAACAATTAATATATTTCTACATGATGATGTGACACTATGGATAAGCTTGTTGCGTACCTGTGCCTCCACAGTGGTGCAATCCTCTCCATCTTTAGGAGCTGCAGCACCATCCTCTGGGACTGGGGAGGGGTCCTTCATCTGGTGCTCCTCCTCGGGGCTCTCCTCCTCCAGCATCTCCCGGTGAGGGGTCTGGGGGGCAGCTGGGGGGCCCATGGTGGGGGGAGTAGAGGGGGTCAGGCTTGTGGGGACTGGGTCTCCTGAAGGATTTTTCTCAGTGGCTGAATCCTACAAGAAAAAAGATTTACTAGATCAATAAAATGCTCCCCACTACCAGTGTCGGGAGTAACGCGTTACATATTTCAGATTACTTTTATGAGTAACGGAGTTAAGTAACGTGTTAATTTGGGTCATATTATTACAGTTACTTTGTCAAACAACACGTGGTTACTTTCAGAAATCATATCTCTACCGGGCGACTTGTTTCCTCATTTAGTTATTGAGCGAGCGGAGAAAGGCTGTTTGGAGAAATGTCATGACAGCTGCTGCCCATAGAAATGTATAGAGGGCACAACCCTAATCTTTGCCATTGATCGCTTCTCTGATAGCAAAGCCCATAGAGGGCTTTCCCGTCTAGTGGGAAGTGTGCCCTCTATACATCTCTATGGGTCCGTGTACATGCGGTCTATAACCAGAACTGGCAGCTCGAGAGAAAGATTTTGAATAAAAAGATAGGAAGTCTGTACAGATGTTTGTCTTACAGTATATACATGGCTAATTCAGCAGCCCATATGATAGCGCAGCACATGTAGACCAGCACAGGAAAGCAGCGCCACAGATGAAAGGACAAAGTAGTGATCAAAGCTGAGTTGGTAAGTAGTCTATCTTTGGTAGATCTGAGTTGGTAAGTAGTCTATCTTTGGTAGATCTGAGTTGGTAAGTAGTCTATCTTTGGTAGATCTGAGTTGGTAAGTAGTCTATCTTTGGTAGATCGTCCTTGGTCCTCCCTGTTACATTCGTTTTTTTTTAAACTAATCCCAACACTGCCCACCACTATGCCAGAAATAAGTGACAAATATGTAGACAGAGGAGGGGAGGTGTCTCAAAATGCCAGCAAACAGTTGGAACAAAACAGAACATATATGGAATATGCATTTTACTGTATTATCTGTAAACTCCGGGCTTCACAATGAAAATTAATTTCTCTACTGGGACAATAAAGATTGAATACCTCAGCGTCTGATTTTAACCTCTTCCTCTCTTCCTGCATAGGAGAGCCAGGTCTCTTCACAGCTGGGGGACACATGGTGGAAGCTGGGGCCTCAGGCTGGCTGGCTGCAGCGGCGATGGGACTGGGAGGGGGACCTAGTGGGCCACTCTTCACTGGGGTCGACGTGGGCACAGTGGCCGGCACGGCCGTGGGGGAGGGCACTGACATGCTGTTGTCACTGTCCAGCGATAGGTCCAGACTACTGTCATTCATCTGACGAAGCCCCTCTGTGGAGTGCTGCAGAACAGAACAAAATGCCATGGGTTACAACACAATACTGTAAGCAAGCATGTAGTCAGTCAAGAGACCGTTGTGAAAAGCAGAATATAAACACACTATAAATTAAATCTGTTACACCTCTATAGTTAAAAAGTAGGAGCTGAAGGTGCACATCCAAATGGTTAATGAGGTGCAGACTAACGGACCATGAATTACAATAAGAATGAATCACATATAGCTACAGGTAGAGGTAGAGGAGGAGGAAGCCTGTCGTACCTTCCTTCGTTTGGGCATGACCAGGTTGGGCAGTAGCTGGTGCAGTTGTCTCCTCTTCACATGCATGGCCTGGATCTTCATGTCCACCTCAAACATCTTGCTGTTCATCGCCTGGCGGTACACTGCAGGAAACGTTTAGAAGATAACAATGATTACGGTCCTTTTTATATAACATTAAACAGGCTAGTTTGTGTCAAATAATAGAACTAGACACAAATGCAGAAAACATCACAAATATCCTTTCAAATTCGACATTCCAGAGTTGAATTGAGTAAGGTGATCATACCTGTGTCAGTAAAAGACTGGATGTCAATGGTCAGGTCAACGTTGAGGTTCTCTGATGCCTCCATCTTCTTAAAGATGACCCCTATCACCCACATGGTGCTGACCTCCTCTCTGGAAAAGAATGAAAGACAGGTGAAAAATGTCCATGGTCAAGTAAGAGCTTACTACAATCGTGCATAGAAAACCTATAATATACTCACTTCTCCCTGCTTTCCTTGGGTCCAGGGAATGACTGGGGGTTGACATGGGCCAACGTTATGAACTCATTCTTCTCCAGGTTTCCTACTAGGATCCTGATCTTGGACTCAACCAGACCAACCCTGCCAGGACAAAGAAAACCACACTTTTCATAATGTATTCCCCAACAGTAGGCTAATAAGAGCAACATTGACATGGATGAAAAATGTAATACACTGTGTCTCCACCCTAATTCATTCAGTCATATGATCTCATTCACATCCCAATGTTTTTCCAGTGCTTTTTATTTCTCTCCAGTCAGTACTCACCACTCGAGGTGCTGCTTCTCGGTGGGGGCGCTTGCTAGCAACACAATATAATGCCTTGGAACATAAGAAACAGAACAATACCATTACACCCTAAAGACAGCAGCCAGGCAACGAACCCAGGCTAGGAGAGAGCCCCAGGCCAGGAGAGAGCCCCAGGCCCCAGGCTAGGAGAGAGCCCCAGGCCCCAGGCTAGGAGACAGTCCCAGGCCCCAGGCTAGGAGACAGTCCCAGGCCCCAGGCTAGGAGACAGTCCCAGGCCCCAGGCTAGGAGACAGTCCCAGGCCCCAGGCTAGGAGACAGTCCCAGGCCCCAGGCTAGGAGACAGTCCCAGGCCCCAGGCACAGAGGGGGCCCGGACCAGATTTGTTTTATTTATTTTTTATTTAACTAGGCAGGTCAGTTAAGAACAAATTCTTATTTACAATGACGGCCTACACCGGCCAAACCCAGACGACGCTGGGACAATTGTGCGCTGCCCTATGGGACTCCCAATCACAGCCGGTTGTGATACAGCCTGGAATCGAACCAGGGGGTCTGTAGTGACGCCTCAAGCACTGAGATGCAGTGCCTTAGACCGCTGCACCACTCGGGAGCCCAGATCACCCAGCCCTCACCACAACAGGTCATGGAAATAGGTTTCTTTGTAACACACTTCTCTCAAATGAAACAGCTAAAAACTACATGACTAATACCAACGTCCGTGTTTTAAGGCAATAAATTATATTGACACACAAAATGTCCTTAGCTGAACACACACGCAGTCGTCTTTTACACAAACATGTCAGAGTAATGGCTACAAACGCTCCACAGCAAATCAAATTAGCCAGAGAAAACCAATCGAACTACCAAGATCATTAATTCACCAAATCATCTTCACGTCGACTGAGAATGAACCTAATTCACTGTAAAATATATCTTCCACAATATTCAAGTATCCTGAAAGTCACTGTTACTATATTATAACTGAGTAAAAGTATTCACTTACATTCTTGTCTGCCTATATGTACAATATCCATGCAGTTACCACAGTAGCACCAAACAAAGTTATTTCTGTGCTTTGTCTGGAATAGCTCTGCCCGTCACCTGTTGAAAACCCACACTACCTCACTGTTCGTCCAATCACAGGAGCCCGTGCTTGTTCTGATTATTTCCCATTAGGTTGAATATTATAAAATTGGATTACATTGACAAGCAGATGAATGGAAAGGAAAGATCTTTCATTTTCAGGCCACGTTGAAAATAAAAAGGTCTGAGCCCAGGACGAATGATTGATTTATTCAAACAACAGTACAGAGAAACCAGTGCAGTAACAAGCAGGGCGCCAGCCAGATCAGATGGTCTGATTCTGAAGTATGTTAATTAAGCCTGATGTGTGAAAGGGTCAAACCTGGATAACAATCTCTAGCGTAATAACGTTTGTCTCCTCTAACACTGCAGTCCAATCCACAGGCTGGATATATACTATCTCCTCTAAGACTGCAGTCCAATCCACAGGCTGGATATATACTATCTCCTCTCAGACTGCCGTCCAATCCAAAGGCTGGAGATATACTATCTCCTCTAACACTGCAGTCCAATCCACAGGCTGGATATATACTGTCTCTCTAAGATGCAGTCCAATCCACAGGCTGGATATTACGGTCTCTCTAACTGCAGTCCAATCCACAGGCTGGATATATACGGTCTCCTCTAACATGCAGTCAATCCACAGGCTGGATATATACTGTCTCCTCTAACACTGCAGTCAATCACAATACTGTCTACTAAGACTGCAGTCCAATCCACGGGATAATACTTCCTACTACTGCGTCCAATCAGTGGAATATACATTTCTCTAAGACTGCAGTCCAATCCACAGGCTGGATCTCCTCTAAGACTGCAGCCAATACAGGTGGATATTCTCTCTCTAACACTGCAGTCCAATCCACAGGCTGGATATATACTGTCTCCTCTAAGACTGCAGTCCAATCCACAGGCTGGATATATACTGTCTCCTCTAAGACTGCAGTCCAATCCACAGGCTGGATTTATTTAATCACTTTAAATTGTATCCATTTTTTCAGGCTCTCCAGTGCAGTCAAACGACAGTCCAGAATGTGCTGATGCATGTTCTCCTTTCCTCTGTCAGCAACCCAGAGGATGAGGAGCTGTGCTTAAGCCACGGTGTGCTTAAGGCAATACATCAAATGTTCTGAAACTTTTCTGTCAAAGAAAGGGTGGCTGGATCAAACTGATTTCCCAAAAGACTGAGGGTATTTTATTTCAAATTGAGAGCGTCGGGAATGGAAGATTTAGGTAAATGAAGGGGATTGGAACGCGAGTCAATTGGGAAGCAAAATGATTGGCATTTTGCAAATAGGTCTGCATGTTGATTGGGGCTGCAAAGGGAGAAATGTCTCCTCTTCCAAGGACAATGCCTCTTGGGTAACAGAACTGTGGCCACTGTTCTAGGCTAGCATCATGCTCTTGCATATTACTGATAAACCAATTAACAAGTGACCTATTCAGCTTTACTTTTCACTTCAGATTTCAACATTCAAGTACATATCTCAAGATTGAGCAGAACTGATGAGTGAAAAGGGAATCCAGGGTGTGAGTTAGTGAGCTGTCTCTATAAATTACCCACATGTATAGAATGAAACTGAAAGATCCAATGACTTAAAATGTTGTATTCTTCACATGGCTTCCTGCTAGCGCGGTGTTATAATTTACAGATTTATCATGATCAAAACTTGATAAGGAACATAAAAAACATGTCTACAAAATGAAGACTAACAAGAAATACATAGTGCAAATTGTTAACTAAAGCATTTTATTTGGGAAGTAGATGTACAGTATAATAAGGAAACCTTACAGCTGAAGTACCCACCTTTAGTAAGATATTAAAATATACAAACATCAAATATTGAGTTGTGCTTACATTAGAGGCACAGTCTATACTTAATAGTAGTGATCATACTGGGCTTCAGGCACTGCATAACATTAACATTGTATTTGCTTTTATGATCATTGTTTTGTGAATCAAAGAGGGTGCTTAGGCCAGAAGAAAGCATCTTTTGAGTCTTGTCTGTTAGCCTGAAGTGTTTATTTAATAATAAAAATAATGCAAACTGAATGAGTCGATTACACATAAAGGGGAACAAGAGAACTTCACATTTACTGAAAAGGTGCAAGTGAGGTGGTGGTGTATTTTGAAAATCGAAATCTTTATTGAAATAGTTGGTTTGTCTCACCATGCGTGTCCCACAGGATAAGCTGCTTAATACATACTTGTATTTCTGAAAGAAGTTTGGTGCTTCAAATAGTTTCGACCACTCTGCTTTATTCTGCAATATTTCATCTGTGATGGCCAGACCTGTGGAGGGAAGGAGGAAGGACAACGTGTTTAACAACGAGGAGAACCAAAGGAAAACTACAGATGAGACAACTTATCTAGGCAACAAGCCGGACGTTAGGAACCCCTTGAGAAAAGAAAATACTTCCGACGAGGCTGAATTTACTTTTTTTGACATAGGCACAACTTACATTTGATGAAACTTCCCTTTGACATCAATGGATCATTTATGTGAATGTTTGAGTAAGTTTCTTGCTCAAGGCTCTTAAGTTAGGACTCTGGCCTGAAGGGTTTCGTATGAAGAGAATTCCGTTTCAGAGGGACTACACAGAGGTGTGGATGCAAAGGCTTGCGTATGAAGTTAGAATTCGAGACGGCTTTACGGACCGTGTTTGAACTCGTCCACCATGACGGCACGTGTGGAGGCAGAGACGTTGTAGGTGGAGTTCTGCTGGGGGTAGGCTGGTGTGATGATGGGCATCAGGTGGTACCTGTCACTGGGGGTCACCTGGAACAACAGATAGGACACTTAGAGCCAATTAAAACCTTCCACCACATGCAGAAAGGGTCACTTGGAACGATAGAACTCTGAGAATGTGTGTGACTATCTTTGATGTAGTGATTTGAAGGCCTCTAATGCATCTGAATCAAATGTGTTTGTACTGGAACAGATAAAAGAAGTGGGACTGACTGGGGGGGGGGTACAGGTCACAGGAAAATAAAACGTGGCCCTAGACTTTAAATGGTTAACACCAGTGGGATATGTAGTGGAGGAACTGGTGTTTTTAGTGTAGTGTCCTTAACATTTTAGTAGCAGCTCTGCTACTAAAATGCTTAAGGCAGTTAAGTTCATGTTTATGACAGTCCTTGATGTACAGTGCATTTGGAAAGTATTCAGACCCCTTGACTTTTTCCACATTGTTACATTACAGCCTTATTCTAAAATGAATTACATTAATTTTTTTTATCCTCCATCTACACACAATACCCCATAATGACAAAGCAAAAACAGGTTTTCAGAAATTTTAGCAGATTTATTAAAAACAAAAGAACAGAAATACCTTATTTACATAAGTATTCAGACCCTTTGCTATGAGACTCGAAATTGAGCTCAGGTGCATCCTGTTTCCATTGATCATACTGGAGATGTTTCTACAACTTGACTGGAGTCCACCTGTGGTAAATTCAATTGATTGGACATGATTTGGAAAGGCACACACCTGTCTATATAAAGGTCCCACAGTTGACAGTGCATGTCAGAGCAAAAACCAAGCCATGAGGTCGAAGGAATTGTCCGTAGAGCTCTGAGACAGGATTGTGTCGAGACACAGATCTGGGGAAGGGTACCAAAAAATGTCTGCAGAATTGAAGGTCTCCAAGAACACAGTGGCCTCCATCATTCTTAAATGGAAGAAGTTTGGAACCAACAAGACTCTTCCTAGAGCTGGCCGCCCGGCCAAACTGAGCAATCGGGGGAGAAGGGCCTTGGTCTGACAGAGCTCAAGTTCCTCTGTGGAGATGGGAGAACCTTCCAGAATGACAACCATTTCTGCAGCACTCCACAAATCAGGCCTTTATGGTAGATTAGCCAGACGGAAGCCACTCCTCAGTAAAAGGCACATGACAGCCCGCTTGGAGTTTGCCAAAAGGTACCTAAAGGACTCTCAGACCTTGAGAAACAAGATTCTCTGGTCTGATTAAACCAAGATTGAACTCTTTGGCCTGAATGCCAAACGTCACGTCTGGAGGAAACCTGGCACCATCCCTACGGTGAAGCATGGTGGTGGCAGCATCATGCTGTTGGGATGTTTTTCAGTGGCAGGGACTGGGAGACTAGTCAGGATCGAGGGAAAGATGAATGGAGCAAAGTACAGAGAGATCCTTGACAAAAACCTGCTTCAGAGCGCTCAGGACCTCAGTGGGGCTAAGGTTCACCTTCCAACAGGACAATGACCCTAAGCACACAGCCAAGACAACGCAGGAGTGGCTTCAGGACAAGTCTCTGAATGTCCTCGAGTGGCCCAGCCAGAGCCCGGACTTGAACCCGATCGAACATCTCTGGAGAGACCTGAAAATAACTGTGCAGTGACGCTCCCCACTCAACCTGACAGAGCTTGAGAGGATCTACAGAGAAGAATGGGAGAAACTCCCTAAATACAGGTGTGCCAAGCTTGTAGCATCATACCCAAGAAGACTCGGGGCTGTAATCGCTGCCAAAGGTGCTTCAACAAAGTACTGAGTAAAGGGTCTGAATACTTACGTAAATGTGATCTGTTTTTTTATTTGTAATAAATTTGCACACATTTCTAAAAACCTGTTTGCTTTGTCTTTATGGGGTATTGTGTGTAGATTGAGGGGGGAAAAAACTATTTAAATCAATTTTAGGATAAGGCTATAACTTAACAAAATGTGGAAAAAGTCAAGGGGCCTGAATACTTTCCGAATGCACTGTATCAGTGTTGCTCAGGACAGGACTAGTATCAGTATGAACAAATCTTGTTATTATGGATCAACATTACCCTGGGGTCCCAGACTGGCAAGTTGAGGTTGCAGTCCTCTGGCTGCTTCAGGAGAACAGGGTTAGGCCATTCCCTGCATAACACAAACACACGTTTAATTTAGTGTGATGGTACAGACCAAGTATACCAGTAGGTCAGTCAGTCAACCCTTTACACACGCCATCTTGTTTCACTATGTTCCTAATAAAAACAGTAGTAATACAGCTGCCACAAGCACCAAGGAGTGAGAAAATGAGATGACAATGTAGAGAGAGTGATCTATGGAAACTCCTTCACCAGCAAAGACAGGAAAAACAAAATGCCCATCAGAAACAGGTCACAGAGCACGTCCGAAAGAGAGCGACTGCTCACCACTTAGAGAAGACCAGGAAGAACTTGTGTACGAGGGTGGAGGCCACAGCGTTGGGGTAGAGCTGGCAGGTCCTAGCTACCAGCATGGCCCAGGAGACGCCACCCAGGAAGCCCAGGATGTTACTGTAGATGTTATGACCTATGGGAGAACAATAACATAACAGTATTATATATAAATGGCGTTGGGGTAGAGCTGGCAGGTCCTGGCTACGAGACGCGGCCCAGGAGACGCCACCCAGGAAGCCCAGGATGTTACTGTAGATGTTATGACCTATGGGAGAACAATAACATAACAGTATTATATATAAATGGCGTTGGGGTAGAGCTGGCAGGTCCTGGCTACGAGACGCGGCCCAGGAGACGCCACCCAGGAAGCCCAGGATGTTACTGTAGATGTTATGACCTATGGGAGAACAATAACATAACAGTATTATATATAAATGGCGTTGGGGTAGAGCTGGCAGGTCCTGGCTACGAGACGCGGCCCAGGAGACGCCACCCAGGAAGCCCAGGATGTTACTGTAGATGTTATGACCTATGGGAGAACAATAACATAACAGTATTATAAATAAATGGCGTTGGGGTAGAGCTGGCAGGTCCTGGCTACGAGACGCGGCCCAGGAGACTCCACCCAGGAAGTTACTGTAGATGTTATGACCTTGGGGAGGACATATCACTTTAGATTGTGTAGATTTAGTTTGGTTGTTGTTGCTGACCTAATGGGGCGGCAGGTAGCTTAGTGGGTAAGAGCGTTGTGCCAGTAACCGAAAGGTCGCTGGTTCTAATCCCCGAGCCGACTAGGTGAAAAATCTGTCGATGTGCCCTTAAGCAAGGCACTTAACCCTAATTGCTCCTGTAAGTCCCTCTGGATAAGAGCATCTGCTAAATGACTAAAATGTAATGTAAAATGTAATAAGTGCATTACATCAAGGACCATCAGGCACCAGTGTAATTTTTCTGATTTTGCAATGCAAAAGGCAATTCCTTGATGTTTCTGCCTTGCCTCCCAATAAGCTTGGCGATGCTTATGCCATATAGTTTACATCTATCTAGTTCCTAAAGATCACCAAAAGGGTTGGGGGGGGGCTGGGGATGTTTTTTGGATTGGGCTTAGTTATGCACCTGGCCTAGCCTACAAGCCAGTGAGTGACTCTCTGCGGATGTTGTTCCCACAAGACAAAACATGATTGGACAGTTGGTTGCCATGCAGTGTACGCAAGCCAAACAAATTCACCGTGGCCACGAGGGGCGTGGTCTGTCCTGTGTAAAAATGCCGTGACTCACAGTTTTATTTTAGAGGCTAATACTGTTTAGGGAATAGGACCTGAAGGCTGTCAGTTTGGGTCCAGCATGTTGACATGTCATTAGTGTTGTGGCTGTCATTAGAGTGAGATAATCCCACCTGCCTAGCCACAACAGTGTTGGTCCCTCCGTGTTACACAGCAAGACGTACAAACTGATAAGAGTACACACACACACACAGGGACCAACTCAAACACACCAGTAGACACACACACACGCTTACAGGAGATGCCGACTCAACACACAGTTATGTTTCCACCAAGGCAAATGATTGTGCTACTACGCTTGACGCTAGGCAACTCACGTTTAGCCCACAGCTTGATGGTCCTCAGCGTCAGTCTGAAGTTCTCAATGTTGGGCACAAGGTGGAGGATCTCATCTGTAACTCTGCAACCTGAAAACATAACGTCAAGCCATTATGGTCCCCACTCCTCACTCACAATAGAGACGGACAGGTACGACACAGACAATGCAGAGAGATTACTTGAATTCTACAACACAGCAGTTGCTTTCAACTAAGTGTAGGTAGGGTCAGAGGTGAACCAACAACCAATTGTTAGACCCTGTATTTTTAACACAGATCAGATATCACTGTTTATAGTGCAACATCAGTGACGTGAGATACCGTTCAGCAGATTATTTCATCCAAAGAGACTTACAGTACAGTGTATACATTTTACCATTTGTGACCCCAGCGATAATCGAACCACGACACTGTTGTTGACAGCGGCACGCTTTTACCAACTGAACCACATCAGGACCACATCAGGACCACAGCTCAGTGGATACAAAGAGCTCAGTGTTACCGTTAAGACTCCTGATGCAGCGGATGTCAAGGTTCTTCAGCAGCCCGTCATCTCGGAGGTCCAGACTCTCTGGGATGGTTTGCAACGCTAACCGGGCAAACAGGATGTCAATCTAGAAATATACAAAACTCATGGACATTTAAAAAAGCAGCAAATCTCAATTCATATTGGATGAACTGAACCAACTTCGCCCAGTTCTCTTGCAATAATCAAAATGGTCACATTTAGGCCTAGAATACAATCATAAACAAATACTTTCAAACGTCACACCTCAATGCTGTCGAAAGACAGCTTTATCACCGGGACAAATGCCTCCTCAACAGCCTGGGAAAAAAAAGAGAACAGTTGATGAACAGTCTGCACCTCGTTAACTTTTGGGTACACATCTTCACCTCCTAGTCTACCAACACCATGGAAGAATCTTTATTATGCTGCCTTGATTCCTCGCATCCTTCTCAAAACCCATTGGATGAGAAGGTCAGAGGGGCGGGGCCTCTTACCGTCTCATCCAATGGGTTTTGAAAAGGAGGCAAGGAAAGAAAATGCGAGGAATCAAGGCAATGTAATAGAGATCGTCCAGATACCCACCCTCAAATCTTTGACCTCCTCTTGCTCTTTCAGCTTTTCCAGGAACGAGGAGAAGAAGTCTGTTCTCTCCACATGACGAGGAGCCACACACAGGGCGTCAATGTCAGCACCTACACCAGGACAAGAGATATCAATTCATTTTTTTTTTAAAAAGGTCATTTCGGTGGTACGGCATTTTGTGCAAAAATGTTACCGGTGTGGTGTGACCATGCTGTGTTTAATAATAATAAATACTATTTTATATAGTGCTTTACATTACGAAGAGAATCTCAAAAGGTGCTTTAAAAACCAAACAGGAGAAAATGTTTTGAAACCGAAAACAAGTGTTGCTATTGGACAAGTCCTCCTAAGAGGACAACGTCAGAATGGAAAGGCTGACTGCACAATAGTTCAGCCTTCCTTCAGTGTGGATCCAAATGTGTTAACCACAACTCAAGACCCTGCATCCCTCCTAAAGCTGACATAATTACCTTTAGTGTGAACTCCTAACCACAACTCAAGACCCTGCATCCCTCCTAAAGCTGACATAATTACCTTTAGTGTGAACTCCTAACCTGTAGGATCCAAATGTGAAGATCTTCCCTCCAACAGTTTCAATCACTGAGGCAGGCAGATTCTAGGAGGAAAAAAAACAGTACATTCAATCATTAGAACCTGTTGCATCATGGGTAGGCAACACTGCCTTGCTGTTGTGATATCATCCCAATATTACCTGTGTCCCAAATGGCACCCTATTCCATTTATAGTGCAGAGCCCTGGTCAAAAGTAGTGCACTAAAAAAGGGAATACAGTGACAGTTGGGACACACCCACGGATCACCAGACCCCTGCTGTATCAGAGCGAACTGTCAGAAGGAGGAAGTAAAAGCATACCTTTGTCTCACTGACGTCACGGATCCATTCCTTCACTAGTGTGTTCAGTTTTCCCAACACATGTATTCTATGGAAAACAAGGCATGATTTAGAGGAAGTCTTTGGTATTTTTACATTTAAAAAATAATAAATAACTACACAAGTATGGCACTTTATAACCACAAATACAGTTTACCTAGTATTGACCGAAACACCAACCTAAGAATAATTGACTGATGTACTGGCAAGATATTGGATAAAGTTATTATTCTCTTCCTACTACCACCACCACTACTATTTACATTTAAGTCATTTAGCAGACGCTCTTATCCAGAGCGACTTACAGTTAGTGAGTGCATACATTTTTCATACTCTACAACTCCTAATAGACCTCATCCTACTACCACCACTACTCCTAATAGACCTCATCCTGCTACCACCACTACTCCTAATAGACCTCATCCTACTACCACCACTACTCCTAATAGACCTCATCCTACTACCACCACTACTCCTAATAGACCTCATCCTACTACCACCACTACTCCTAATAGACCTCATCCTACTACCACCACTACTCCTAATAGACCTCATCCTACTACCACCACTACCCCTAATAGACCTCATCCTACTACCACCACTACTACTCCTAATAGACCTCATCCTACTACCACCACTACTCCTAATAGACCTCATCCTACTACTACCACTACTCCTAATAGACCTCATCCTACTACCACCACTACTCCTAATAGACCTCATCCTACTACCACCACTACTACTCCTAATAGACCTCATCCTACTACCACCACTACTCCTAATAGACCTCATCCTACTACCACCACTACTCCTAATAGACCTCATCCTACTACCACCACGTCTACTACCACTCCCAATAGGCCTTGATGCAACTTGTGTCCATTCTAACATGACCATTCGGCCTACTAGTGACAACCATCCTACCTGCGCTGTAGTTCCAGCTCCTCTTCGAACACCCCGTATGGTTTCAGGGCCTCAGTCAGGCTGTGTGTGAGGGCCAGGTCAGACTCCTTGGCTTGGGCCAGGCTGATAGGAGACGTGATCCCATAGTGCTTGGGCGTCTCCCGACCCAACAACACCTGGTTAGTAGTCGGACTGAAAACCGGACAGATGTGGTCGTGATCAGAATCAGAAGACTTTATAGCCATGCAACAAACGTTACTATGAATTTATCTTGGTGTTGTGCAAAGAAACACATCAACAGCAATACAAATAAAGGATTTGAATATCAATACAAATATTAATGATAACCCGTACAGAAAGAGCTCCATGGCATCAGAAAGCACATAGCTAGCTACAACTGTTGCTCCTACTGTGTGCTTTTAGCTTATTTCTATATACCGATTTACATAGCTACATTGCTTTCTGTGGTTTGTTTGAATGTGGTGGTGGTAGAGGCAAATGGACATACAGTAGGTAGGTGTACATCTAAATGTTGGTCTCTGGGTAAAAACAAGTGTATTCTTCTCATTCCTCGTACTTTATAGTTAAATGTGTTTTGACTGTGTTTGGGTGTAAAGCACCAATAAGGAACTCAACATCAACTTGGTGACCTATTGTACAGTTTCGTGTTGACATGACATTGCAATTGTGAAAGACAAACATTTTCTGTATGCCTTATTCTGTCCCGTTACAATGCACAAAAAGGTAGGAACTAAAGACTCCCAAAACTTGATTTGTCCTCCCCAATTATGATGGCATCGGCTATAGGTTCGTGTCAGATATAGCTAAAAAAAAACAACAACAATGTAACTTACTTAAGTAATCTACCAGATGAATATGATCATGATTAGTTTCAGAGAATGATTACAAACTGAAGTTACGTCTTACAACAGACAACATGCAATATTGCAAATGTTCCGTCACGTGCACTGATGGTTCGTTAACTACTTCTGCGGATATTCATTGAACGTTACACTTCAACAACCTGGACACTAGTAAACACGTAGTTAGCAGTCAATTGTGATTTGGTAACTAGCTAGGTAACGTTACGTGGTCACAAAATAGCAATTTACCGCTGTGCCGAATTGCGGCGTGCTAGCTAAAATAACTAGCTAGCGTGCGTTGTTATGCTAACATTACTAGCTACAAAATGCAGCTAAGTGGCTTGATACAGTTTGCACCTTTTCAAGAACCTTTAAATTACTAGAAAATAATATCAGACCTACGTAACGTTAGCTAGCCAATACTCAAAACAATGTTTCAATACCATTTCCCGCTACACAACCTGCTAGCTATTTTTTTTTTTTAGCAAACATGGACTGGCTACCTCGCATCGGTAGGCCCAATACCCATTCCGAAACTAACCACACACTCAGTACATATTGTCCACGGGAGGGAGATACTTACAAGGGCATTGTAACAACCTCCAGCAAGTCCAATCAGCCCCCCCAAAATTCCCTTCTCATACTCGTTTCTTCTTTTTCATCAAACTTAGCTAGCTAGCCAGCGATGTTATTTCTTTACCCAGCAACCGAGCAGTGGAATTTGCACCTTTTGTGTCCACTGAACATGGCGCGTGTGCAGCTGTGCTGTCACCGCAACCTTGAGAGGGTGGGTGTGTTGTGTGACCGTCATGACGTATTGCACATTTTTATTTTATCACATGGGAACTGTAGTCCTTTACATTTTCGATTAGGATTGTGGACTTCAACCGCCTGTATTCAATCGAGAGATATGCTACGCGACTAGCCCCATGTCATGAATATGCATAGCCATCTCGAGACAACTCTGAAATAAAGTGTGGTTTTTTTCTTCAAAGTTGACGGACTGTCACGTGTCCTACTTATATCAGTACACTCGTAACAACTTAAGCATTACAAAACGTATATTCGATCAAATAAACCTCACGTAGCAAATAAGCCATTCATTTTTTTGTTGACCGAATTCAACACGCTCTCTTTGACCTCCATACAAAAACTCCTTGCTTGGTAGGCAAAAAAAACGAAAAACCGCCACCTGATGGAGGGAGACAGATTTTCCGCCTAGTTGGGCCTCTCTCTCTTCCTCTTCCTCTCTGGCCATAGTGGCCAAAAGTCTATTTTAGCATGGGCACTCTATAATGGCACAGGTATAAAGATGAGTCCTCTATCTATCTCTACAGTTCCACCTCTGCAGAATGACATGGGGAATTTCTCGTTTCAGCAAAACTCTGGCCAAATCCCAAATCAACCCCTAGACCAGGGTTCTATTTGGTTTGATTTGGTCCCTCAAGTATTCTGAGCCCCCCCACATATATATACAGTGAGGGAAAAAAGTATTTGATCCCCTGCTGATTTTGTACGTTTGCCCACTGACAAAGAAATGATCAGTCTATAATTTTAATGGTAGGTTTATTTGAACAGTGAGAGACAAAAGAACAACACAAAAATCCAGAAAAACGCATGTCAAAAATGTTATAAATTTATTTGCATTTTAATGAGGGAAATAAGTATTTGACCCCCTCTCAATCAGAAAGATTTCTGGCTCCCAGGTGTCTTTTATACAGGTAACGAGCTGAGATTAGGAGAACACTCTTAAAGGGAGTGCTCCTAATCTCAGTTTGTTACCTGTATAAAAGACACCTGTCCACAGAAGCAATCAATCAATCAGATTCCAAACTCTCCACCATGGCCAAGACCAAAGAGCTCTCCAAGGATGTCAGGGACAAGACTGTAGACCTACACAAGGCTGGAATGGGCTACAAGACCATCGCCAAGCAGCTTGGTGAGAAGGTGACAACAGTTGGTGCGATTATTCGCAAATGGAAGAAACACAAAATAACTGTCAATCTCCCTCGGCCTGGGGCTCCATGCAAGATCTCACCTCGTGGAGTTGCAATGATCATGAGAACGGTGAGGAATCAGCCCAGAACTACACGGGAGGATCTTGTCAATGATCTCAAGGCAGCTGGGACCATAGTCACCAAGAAAACAATTGGTAACACACTACGCCGTGAAGGACTGAAATCCTGCAGCGCCCGCAAGGTCCCCCTGCTCAAGAAAGTATATATACAGGCCGTCTGAAGTTTGCCAATGAACATCTGAATGATTCAGAGGAGAACTGGGTGAAAGTGTTGTGGTCAGATGAGACCAAAATTGAGCTCTTTGGCATCAACTCAACTCGCCATGTTTGGAGGAGGAGGAATGCTGCCTATGACCCCAAGAACACCATCCCCACCGTCAAACATGGAGGTGGAAGCATTATGCTTTGGGGGTGTTTTTCTGCTAAGGGGACAGGACAACTTCACTGCATCAAAGGGACGATGGACAGGGCCATGTACCGTCAAATCTTGGGTGAGAACCTCCTTCCCTCAGCCAGGGCATTGAAAATGGGTCGTGGATGGGTATTCCAGCATGACAATGACCCAAAACACACGGCCAAGGCAACAATGGAGTGGCTCAAGAAGAAGCACATTAAGGTCCTGGAGTGGCCTAGCCAGTCTCCAGACCTTAATCCCATTGAAAATCTGTGGAGGGAGCTGAAGGTTCGAGTTGCCAAACGTCAGGCTCGAAACCTTAATGATTTGGAGAAGATCTGCAAAGAGGAGTGGGACAAAATCCCTCCTGAGATGTGTGCAAACCTGGTGGCCAACTACAAGAAACGTCTGACCTCTGTGATTGCCAACAACGGTTTTTCCACCAAGTACTAAGTCATGTTTTGCAGAGGGGTCAAATACTTTTTTCCCTCATTAAAATGCAATTATAATTTATACAATTTTTGACATGCGTTTTTCTGGATTGTTTTGTTGTTATTCTGTCTCTCACTGTTCAAATAAACCTACCATTAAAATTATAGACTGATCATGTCTTTGTCAGTGGGCAAATGTACAAAATCAGCAGGGGATCAAATACTTTTTTTCCCTCACTGTATATATATTAATTATTATTATTATTATTGTTGGACATAAAAGGAAATCAGCTCCAAGTGATTTTCATTTTGGAAATCGGTTCCCAAGTATTCCTATGAATAATAGAGAGACACAAGGTATGAAAGGATTATGTTTTAGTCAAATGTTATATCTGTTTGGGCTTCTTGCGGTCAATTAGCAGTTTACAAATTATTTGTAATTATGTTCTGGCCCCGACCATCCGCTCAAGAGAAAATTAGACAGCGGCTGAATCTACACTGAACAAATATATATTTTTAAATATAAATGCAACATGTAAAATGTTGGTCCCATGTTCCATGAGCTGAAATAGATCCCGTACATCTTCCATATGCACAAAAAGGTTATTTCTCAAAAAAGTGCTGCAAAAATGTGTTTACATCCCTGTTAGTGAGCATTTAATCTTTGCCAAGATAATCCATTCCCCTGAGAGTTGTGGCAAATCAAGAAACTGATTAAACAGCATGATTATTACACAGGTGCACCTTCTGGTGGAGACAATAAAAGGCGACTCTAAAATGTGCAATTTTATCATACAACACAATGCCACAGATGTCTTAAGTTTTGAGGGAGCGTGCAACTGGCATGCTGACTGCAGGAATGTCCACCAGAGCTGTTGCAAGAGAACTGAATGTTAATTTTTCTACTATAAGTAACCTTCAATTTAATTGTAGAGAATTTGGCAGTATGTCCAACCGGCCTCACAACCGCAAATCAAATCAAATTTGATTTGTCACATGCACCGAATACAAAAGGTATAAAGCCAGCAACTTCACACAGCAATTTAAGAGGAGTGGGACAACATTCCACAGGCCACAATCAACATCCTGATCAACTCTATGCAAAGGAGATGTGTCGCACTACACCCGTTGTTGTCAGGTGTATAAAATCGAGCACACAGCCACCTTTCCAACAAGTCAGTTCGTCAAATTTCTGCCCTGCTAGAGCGGTCAACTGTAAGTGCTGTTATTGTGAAGTGGAAACGTCTAGGAGTCTATGAAAAGCTCACAAAATGGGACAGCCAAGTGCTGAAGCACGTAGCGCTTAAAAATCGTCTGTCCTCGGTTGCAACACTCACTACCGAGTTCCAAATAACCTCTGGAAACAACGTCAGCACAAGAAATGTTCGTCGGGAGCATCATGAAATGGGTTTCCATAGCCGAGCAGCCGCACACAAGCCTAAAATCACCATGTGCAATGCCAAGCGTCGTTTGGAATGGTGTAAAGCTCGCCGCCATTGGACTGTGGAGCAGTGGAAATGCGTTCTCTATCACGTTTCAC